TTCGGAATTTGAGTCGATGGAACGACTGTTACGTTTTTGTTGTAATGTAACTTCCTAACCCATTAACATCTTATATTTTTTTAAGGAAATAAAAAAAAAATAAAGGGTTAAATTTATTTTATCCCTTTGTGGTTGGGAGTTAGAGCACTTTACCTCCCTATGGTTCAAATATAACTAGAAAATCCTCATGTGATTTTATATTAAAGTGCTACCGTTAATTTTGCTATCCAAACTAACAGAATGTGTATTTCACACACCACTTTTGAGAGTGGATTTGATTTCCTGAAAAATTAAAGTGAAATTAATATGACAAAAAAATAATGTTATCCCAATTTTCTCTAAACCTAAAATTAGATTAATATGTTAATTAAAATAAAATAAATCAAATTAAAATATAATTAAAAATTGATCTAAAATGTAGAATACAATTAAGAAATGATTAAAAATATAATTAAATAAAAATATAAAATAAATAATAATTAAAAATTGAACTAAAATATAATTAAATTAAAATTAGATTAACATGTTAAGGATTATAATAGATATTTAAGAATTTAAGATTAATTGTGAACTAAAAAATGAAATTAAAATTAGAACAAAAAGTTAAGAATTAAAATAAATAATTAAGAATTTATAATTAATTGTGACCTAATTAAATTAATGTTAAACCTGATAAATTACGTACATGAGAGAGGAGATGGAGAGAAAATAACAAAAAAAATATAGGATTTGATGGTATTATAATCATTTTATATGTGGTCCAAAATCACACGTGGGCCTCTCTGATTATTTTTGAGCCATAAGGGTAAAGAAGTTTAGCCTGAAATTTTGATGAGCTAAAATGAATTTAACCCAAAAATTAAAAAAATAAAAATGATTGTAAATGAAGTTTAACCCGTTCGTTTTGGACAAAGAGAATGTCCCAAGTTTGTTTGGCTTTCGTAGCATCCTTGATTCTTGGAAAGATCCGGTCTGAGACGCCTTGTTGGATGTAAGAAAGAGCTGCAGCATCCTTCTGTTGCTTCTCCTTGTTGGTCTCATCGTCGTACCCATTCCATACCGTATCCCACAAATCCATAGATAAAAACAGAGTTCTCATCTTCACACTCCAAAACTCGCAGTTGGTACCGTCAAAAATTGGAATTGTGGCCATGTAGAGTCAACTCTGTTAAGGATATTCAGTTCTTCACCTTGCAGCTGATCTTCCTTCCACAAACCATAAGCTCTTCTACTACCATATGGAATGGAAGCCTTTTGAGTAGGCCTATGTAAGCAGTTGTTTCATCATTAAAAAATAAATAAATAAATAACAGTAAGAAAAATTGACTTTCACAAGAAGGATGGATGTAGATTTTGTAACAGCAAAAGAAGGGATGGTAGATCCCTATTTATGCAGATTTGGAATTCTCTCTTCATTGGATTTCTGCCATACATTTTAGGGGTGTTTGGGAAGCCAATTTTAGGCTTTTTTGGGTTAAAATTTACAAAAGATAAAATAGATTAAAATAATTAATAAGATAAAATGTCACATCAAATTCATAATCATTTTATTTTTTCTCTCACAAATATCACATCGAACTATAAAAAAAATCCAATCTTCTTCCCAAACACAAATATTTTAATATACTAAAATAGCTAAAAATTAAAATAGCTTATTAAAATAGCCATCTTTTCAAACGAGCCCTTTGATTCTTCACAACCTATGTCTTACAAGTAGGGATGGCCACCTAATGGATTGGGAGCGGGTGAGGGCTAGTTAATATTATAATTTAAAAACAATATATTAATAAAATTTATAAATAATAGAGTACATATTATGAATAATAATTTATGATTAATAAAAATTAAGAGATGTAAGATGAGAGGGAAATGAGTGAAATTCAATATTTAATGTAATATTTGAGTTTTAATTTTATTATATTAAAAAAAATTAGTTTAACATCTATTTCCAACTTTAGATAGTATGAGAAATCCAATATATTTTTTCTTGTTAATTAAAGTACCTCAATAATATTATTAGATAAATTTTAACTTGTCACGGAAAAATATTTATTTCTGAAGAACTGAAATTTCTCTATGAAAAAAAAAAATTCTCTATGAAAATATTGAAGGACACCAATTACTATGAAAATGTTATATATTCTTTATCTTACAAAATCCTAATATCAGGGATCTTAAACTAAAAATTCCTTAAAAGAATTAAATGATATATATATAATTAGAAAGCCTTCATATGTTTTTGGATTAAAAAGTTTCCGTTAGTTTTTTCATTCAAACTAACGCAAGAGGTGTCACACACAATTTTTTAGAGTGCGTTAGATTTTTTTTTTAAAAGTGAAATTCACATGACAAAGGATAATTTTACACACATTTTTGTCCAACATAAATTTAAATCAATATGTTAATTAAAATATAATTAAATAAAATATAAAATAAATAATAATTAAGAATTTCTCTAAAATATAATTAAATTAAAAATAAATTAATATGCTAAGAATTATAATAAATAATTTTACTTAGGATACAAGGACTTCAAAAATTAAGGATCTCGTGCTCTATCTCACTTTGTTCTGGCGTGAACAATGGTTTTCCTTTGATTTGAGTGATTCTTTGCTTCAATCACATCAAAGTCCTTTTTTTTCTTTTTCAAAGTTATGTGATTTTACTGTCACAATTTATTCTTCTAGATCGGAGATTTTTTTCTAGGGTTCCTAATATTAAGATTATATAGCACAAATGACATAATATTTTCATAATGTCTAAATTCCTTTAATATTGATCTAGAGAATTTCTTTGGCCTTTCCAGACAGAGAAATTCTACGAAGGCCAAAGAATTTCTTTGGATTTTAATCTAGAGATTTTTTTTGGATTTTCAAAGAATTTCTCTGATTTTTGCAAGAATTTCTTTAGGTTCAAACCAGAAAATTTATCTGTCTTCCCAATCACGATGCGCAATACACAAATCGATCACCCGGATAAGCAACAACAACAACCAATATACATATATCCAGAGAATTTCTTTATACTTCCCAGAGAATTTCTTTCATTAGATTCTGGTCTAGAGATTTTCTCTAGATTTCCAGAGAATTTCTCTAGATTTTCTCTAGATTTCAAGAAACAATAATGAAGAGTTCAAGGAATAGAGCATCTAACTTCACTGTGATTTGCATTTGTCCATAGGAAAGCCAGAGAAATTTTCTAGATGCCAGTCTAGAAATTTTCTCTGAATTTCTCTGGATTTTCTTTGGATTTTAAGAAACAGTAATGAAGAGTTCAAGAAACAGAGTATCTGACTTCACTGTAATTTGCATTTGTCTATGGGAAGTCTAGAGAAATTCTCTGGATTCCAGTCTAGAGATTTTTTCTGGATTTCCAAAGAATTTCTCTAGATTTTCTCTACATTTCAAGAAACAATAATGAAGAGCTCAAATAACAGAGCATCTGGCTTCGCTATGATTTGTATTTGTCCATATACATGATACATATACAACTCCTCAAACCCTAGAACTTTAAATCCAAAATTCAAAAACTCAACATCTCTAAATCCTTTAAGACCCATCAATACCACACAAAATTGTCAAACAAATCGTAATCACATTATTCATGAGACAGAGTTTCAAGTACATACATAAACATAAGGATATTCAAGAAACACATATTTACATCAACTATATTGCAGAAAATGAAGAAAAGAAAACAGGGAGAAAATAGAAAGAAAGAAAGATAGAAAGATAGAATATATATCAGAAAACAAAACCCTAATCTTCAATAAACTCGTATTACATATGTATGGTTTGTATGTATTTGTTTATTTTATATATATACACGCACATACACAGAAAAAGATCAAAGATTCTAGATGAAACAAAGCCTAATCAGAACTACCATGAAAGATTTGTTAGACTTGTGTTCGATGATCACATATTCATACCATAAGCATAAAACAAAGCAGAGGTTTGTAAATCTATCAATGTGTGTGTGTATATATATATATATATATATAGAGAGAGAGAGAGAGAGACATCAATACAGAGAGAGAGAGAGAGAGGAGGAGATGATGGAGTAGATGCAATCGCGAGAGGAGATGCGGGAGGAGATGCGGCAATAGGGACAAGCTGTCGATGACAGTGATGGAGGTAGAGTTCGTTGGGGAGAGAAGAGCAGAGAGAAAGGAAGAGGGAGAGAAACCAGTTTGATTTGAGAGAATTAAATTTCTCTATGATATATAGTAATATATAGGTGTCAGGGTTAAGGGACCTTAAACTTTACAAAATAATATTATAGACATCTTTCATTACTAAAAATGAGATACGGACCATAGACTAATTTTTTCTTTTTATTTTTCGGGTAAAAAAATTAAAATTATTTTGTACACAATATTTTGAAAATAAATAAATAAATAAACATATTTGATAAATTGCTAAAGGTGATAGCGTGATAAAGAGTGGTTGCATGTGGAGGTAACTGACTACAGAGTCGCTAGAGCTCGCCGAAGGGTCACTAACAGTGTCAATGGTTACCTACAGTGGGTGGTGGCTCAAGTTTGAAAGAGGGAGAGTGAAAATTTGTTTTGAAAAAAAACATATATTTTTTGTTTTCAAAATTTTAAAAAAATTTGAAATAAATCTTACTCTTTTTTTCCCTTTACAATAAAAACCATATACAAACATATCATTATTACAAAAAAATTCTCAAAATTAAATAGAAATTCAAACAAATACAAGGAAAATAATACCCAAAAGAAAATTTTGGTCAAGGGTGCTGGCCAATTGATTGCCGCATTGGTTAAAGATACACTTAAGTTGAGAAACTAAAATCACTAACAATAGGAAATCAGAAAACGAACATACAGAATTAAACACAAAAACATATGAATGATCAAGATTACACAATGGAATCCGCTTCAGAAAAATCATGTCTATCAATATATTTTTTTTTTATGTCCAATTCTATATTTGAATTTTGTGTTATTACACTCATAGAACTGCGAAATAGGATTCAAACATATATGAATGATGATGATTAAGTTCATGATTTGGCACAAGCTACACAAGAAAAGAACTTAGAAGCAAAGGATTTGGATTTATCCTCTGGTGGTTTGGGCGGATCAACATCATTTGGGACACAAATCTGGGACTCATCTGCACCACTTGCCTTAGCTTTCTCACATTCTTCTAAGAATTTCTTGAAGGAATTATTGACATACTTAACTGCCTCACCAACAGTCATGTTCTCTACAAGTTTGTCAGGATAAATGTCCTTCTTGTGGTCCCCACATAATGTTGCTGCCATTTGTACCATCTCTTCTTGGAACTCTGTTAATTTTGCATTTTCTTTTGCTTCTGCCTTTCTCAGCTTCACTGGTTCAGGTAATTTAACTGTAATATGCATTACACCATGGAAACAATTATCTTCCAAGTCCCAAAATAATTCAAATAAAAAGTTACGAAGCATGCTAATTTGAAAAATGTTTGTATCGACTATTGGTACTTTATATGGTTACTTCTATATGTGTATTGCGTACACCAAAACACGTACCTATTTTATTTTTAATTTTTTGCAATAACTACATCATCAAAAATTGTATTTTCTTCCATGTAAAAGTAAAATTAGTTTAATTATACATTATTTTATACATTGCTTTTGGCATTAAATTGTGGACGGGATCCTTAACCAAGAAGACTATTTATTCTAAATTAAACATATATATATTTACAAATGTAACCAGTCGTACTCATATTTTATATTTTTAAAGATTTTACTGTTATAGACATACAAGGTACCCAATTGAATGTCGTAATCTTCATTATTGTTTTATATCGAATGTTGTATGTCTCTTAAGGCTATGTTTTATTTATGCATAAGGAGACGAAATAACACTGTTTTATTCTAGAATTAAATTATCAAGTGATTCAAATTTTGTGATCCAGAATAATTTAACTTGAATATATAGAATTATTTTTGTTGCGGGACAACTTATCTCATAGCAAAACATTGGCTTGAGTGTCACACAGATGGGAAACAAAATTAGGGGAAAATTGAGGTAACAGCTTGGTAGATTTTACCTGGACAGTCAGTTCTTGGGCTGCTTCGGCTCACAACACCTTCAAAAGTGCCAGCCCAGGAATCACGCTTAGTCAAGAACTCTTTCAAATTGAAAATCTTTTTAACAGTTGCTGGAATTGAAGAATGCTCAAACTCTGATGTGGGATATGGCCCTGAAGGCCCATGCAACACTACAATTTCAATCATCAATACCATTAATTTCTTTCCTTGTAAATGAAATTATTAAACATTTTCCTTCAAATAAATGTGCACTTTCATTGACTCTAACAACTAAGCAAAGGATGACCAATAAAAGTGCGGCTGGTCTTGCGAAGTTGGGAGCTAATCAAGTTGAGCCTCTTGTAGTCATGTAGGAGGCCTCTGAAGAAGTTAGAGGGCTCGCGATAGCAGACATGGTTGGGCAGGGCTATCCCTTGCCCTGATCTGTGTTCCCTATCTGGTCAGTTCGTGCCTCTTTGTCCTTTTTGTTTTCCTTTGTCTGTTTTCATTTTCTAATGTACCAAAAAAAAAAAAAAAAGAAAGAATGGCCAATAAAAGAAACAACGAGTTCCATCCTAATAACAAAATAAATTATGATTTTTTAATGTTGTCAATTTAATTTTTAAATTTTTGATTTGTTTTCAATCTAAATTATTTGACTATTTTCATTAAGTAAAATTGACAAGAAAAAATGTATTCTGGTCACTAAGCTCAATGAAAATGGTATTTTGACATTTATTTACACCTATATCAAATTTAATGACCAATAATTATTTTTTTCATTAGTTTTAATCAAAAATAATTGACTTATTCCTTAGATTGAAAACAAGTAAAAAAAATTAGGATTAAAATTTTAAGATTTATTATGTTATAATAATCAAATTCTTGATTTTTTTTAAATATAATTATTCCCCCCTTTCCCCCCCCCCCAAAAAAAAAAAAAAAATAAGAAAAAGAGAGAGACACACACACACGGTCTTATCTGTATCTTTAGACCCCAGGCGGTTTGGTATTTTGTGGTATTGATCTGGGTTTTGGTGTTACCCTGGTGATGGTACTCTAGTCATGTGTTTGTTGTGGCCATAAAATTTTGATTGCTTCAAAAAAAAAAAAAAATCAGATGTGTGTCTCACATATGTTAAAAAGTATTCAACTAATATTAATGTTCATAGGATACATTTTTAAAAGTGTTTATATAGTTATATGAAAAATGCTATGTAATCCAAATTTATACGCATAAAGCGACGTGTAAGATTATCTAAAAATTAATATAGTCAATCAATATAATTTTTAAAATATATAATATTGTTGATATTTTATACCTGTACCGCGTTCAATCCACGGAGAAATCATAATGGCTGGAACTCTAACACCAAGACGGTCAAATTGAAAGTTATATGGTGCGGAACCCACAAGGCCATCCGGACTTGGAACTCCGGTCATCGGAGTAGGCACATGATCATAAAAACCACCATGCTCGTCATATATGATGATGAACAACATTTCATTCCATTGGGGACTTGATCTGAGTGCTTCATACACTTCCTTCACAAATTTCTGGCCCTCAAAGACATCGTGAGAAGGGTGATCATCATTCCCTGGCAATATTTTCAAGTCAAAGTACCTTTGTTCAACTACCACATAGTTTGGTAGCTTTCCCTCTTTACAATGCCTCTTGAAGTGTAGATCAAAGCCATGAAAATTCTTTACATACTTCAATTTTCTAAGGTTCCTACAAGGACACAAAACGAAATGTATTCATCACAATGATGTTGGAAAAACAAAGCATTATGTTAAAGAAATCATGACATCAAGATTTTGAATGATGCAATAACAATTTCTAAGTACGATTGTATGACTACAAATGTCTTGATAGATAGAAATAAAAATTTTAACAATGAAGGATTTCATATTTTGCTTATTTACACTCATTTTTATATATTTCAGTTTTTTTTATTTTTTTTTATTATTATTTTTTTGGTACATATTTCAACAAAAAAAAAAAAAAATCACTAAAAAAAATTACTTCCAAACAAAAATTATATTAGATTTCTACAACAAATGAGGATCCTGTGCCTAATTGCATAGTTAATCTGAAAATCATATTAAATTTTTATAATAATAATAATAAAATAAAATAAAAAAGGTCGCTAATGATGAATGGTACACTTGAAAGGTTTTAACAATTTTCATTTATTGGGAGTAGTTTCGCATATGTGCTTTTGACATGTAACATGATTTATTTAATCGACTACTTATATATATATATATATATAGGTAAATTTCACCAACTTGTTTTGAAGTTTAAAAAAATATATAATTTAAAAAAAATATATAACTTTCATAATTTTAATATAATTATATTAGATTTCTTTAAAATTTTAATTTACAGAACACTTAACCTCATTTTTATTAAATATGAATAAAAAAATTATACTATCACATCTCATACATAGAAATGTATATTATCTTTGTTTATTATTACATCTTCATACTATCCACGTTAGTCATGATCTTTTTAATCTTACTAAAAAGAATATTAGTATAATTATGTAACAACTATAAGGAATTTCTCAAAACCTCATGGAATGTTATTATAATATTTACCTTATATATTACTGTGAGCTTAGATGGTCAATTTTTGTCAAAGATAATAAATTATTCAGTCCAATTAAAAATTTCTCTTAAGTAATTAATTTTGTTCTACATTATCAGTTTCTTCGTAGTTAGTTTGTTTTGTTTTGTTTTTGTTTTTTTAATTTCTGGACATCTTGTTGTATTGTTATTGTGATTATTGCTACGTTGGATTTGCAAGCATATACTGTAAGGACGGACTCATCTTTTAGGCGATAATTTTTTTATCTCACTACAAAGTAAAGAGTTAAAATTTTTTCCACATGCATGTAATGTTATTTATCATTTATTTGTTTAAAGTTTTTCTCTCACTTCGATAATTTTTTTAATGAATTGTTTGTTAGTATTTAAATTTTGTTATAATTGCAATTCAGAATTCAATATATGTAATACACTGATTCAGAAAAAAACAAAAAAAAAAAAAATACTAATGCTGTGTTTGGTTAGGGGATTTGGGAAGGGATTTGAAAAGGAAAAGGAAAAATGTATGTGAAACTAGGTGAAATATAAGCATGTTTTATTCACATTTCACCTACTTTTTCATTTCTCTTTCCAAATCTCTCCCTAAATCCCCTAACCAAACACAACATAAAGCAAGGGAATCATATATGGCTGTCAAGATTAAATTATCAACCACGTACTCAGCAATTATATACGCACTGTAATTGTTTAGGTGCCGTTTGGTAACACTTACGTTTTCAGTTTTCTGTTTATATTTACAAAAATTTAAAAAACTCAAATAAAACTTGTTTGGTAAAATTTTTGATTTATAAATCAATGGTCTCAGTTTATAAATTTGGCCAAAAAATGAAAACACAAAGAATGTGTTTCCATTTTGAGTTTTCAGTTTTTTTTTTTTTTACCACCCAACACTAGTATGCTACGTGCTTATTAACGAGAGAGAGAGAGAGAGAGAGAGAGAGAGTCGAAAAGTTGTTGAAAAATAATATAATGCTTATTAATGCAATGTGTTGCTTGTTAGTTTGGGTTTGGGAATGATTGATATCTTGAAAACGTCGGAGAAATGGAGAGCTATCCGGTTTTCTGTTGAATATTGGCAAGTGACGAATGAAGAGACAGATATTGGGAGGATTAGGATTGGGAATTCGAAAAGTTAAGATTTTTATTTTTTGTTTATTTATTTTTATTTTGTTTTTTTGTCGGTAATTATATAGTCACCTCTTCCGTAGTTAGGAGACAAAGGCAAAAAAATTTAATAATTTTGACATAATTATATTAATTTAATTAATTAATTTTTTTTTATCAATAATAGTTATTCATATAAATGAAAAAAAAATATATTTATCATCTTACATTAAAATTTATATTATTTTCAGGATAAATTACACTAGCAGCCCTTGAAATTTTAAAAAAAATATAATAAGTTTAATAGTTTTGACATAATTACATTGAACTCTCTTTTAATAAGATTAATGCAGATGGAATGAAAATACTAAGATAAACAAAATAAAATATATATTTTAGTATAAAACAAATGACAGCATTATTTTTTTTTATTTATATAACTAATGAATTTCTAATAAAAAGAGTGTCAAGTGTTATAATTAAAATCTTAAAAGAGACTAATATAATTATGTCAAACTTTTGGGGTTTATTGTATTCTTTGCAAATCTTATGGGAGGTCATGTAATTTACCCTATATTTTATTTATCTTTGTATTTTCACATTATCTGTATTATTTTCCCTTTAGCCTTCCTATGAGGCAGATCAGTATGGTTGTGTTAAAATTCTATGGCATGCTATTTTTTTTTTTTCAAATTTCAAAACAGATCTATGTAATTCACCCTTCATTTTTTTAGATTTGGCAAATTTCATTTCGAAAATAAACACACAACACTCTATTGTTTGTGGACTAAAATATATTGTCATGTCCATTAACGACTTAAGAAAAAGACTAAAATACCTTATTATAAGTAACCTCACTGTGCAAATCTTGGACATTTTATAGGAGGCAAAGTTCATTTTAATTCCCATGTATTTTATTCTATATGCAATTTACTTCCTAACATTTGGAAATTATCACTTAAAATCATTATTCCAATTTTTAATAGTGGATCAAGGTCCATGAGTTTAAATTAGAATAATTATTTTAAGTGCAAATTACACAAGTAATCCTTACATTTTGTTCATTGTGTCATTTTAGTTTCTAAACTTTCAATTTGCTCAATTGTGACTTTTAATTTTAAATTGTATCAATTTCGTCCAATTGACAATGAGCATTTTACGAAAAATGATTACTAAGTTGGTCGAGATTAATTAATTAAATTGTTCAAGTTTATAATTTTTCCTTTAGAAGTATGACACATGCCACTTATATGCTCATTTTTCTTATAAAATAATGTTAACAATCGTAATCAATTGAACCAAATTAGGACAAGATAAAAGATTCATAATCAAAATTGAACCGATTAAAATTATAATGACCAAAATAACACAATAAAAAAATATAAAAACTACTGATGTAATTTACTTTTATTTCAAATTAAAGAAAAGTCATAACACTTATTGAGGTAATTTTTCATATCCGTTTGATGATATATTAGAAATTTTCCATGAGGTCATGAAAAGGGGGAATTGGGGTCACTGCTGTGCCAGAGGCACTCATTTTGAGACACATTATGTGCTTATTTTTATGATCTGAACCGTTAATTTTGTAAGATTTGTTCAGTACTTCATGCCTACCAAAAATCATATTAATCGGATATCAATAACTATATGATCGAATTGCATATTTTTATACTATTTTTCAAAAGAAAAACTTCTTGTTTATTTTTTTGGTTATCAATCATATAGTTATTGATATCCGATTAATATGATTTTTGGTAGGCATGAAGTACTGAACAAACCCTACAACATGAACGGTTCAGATTATAAAAATAAATCTATAATACACTACAAAATGAAACACAACAGTCATTACTATGTCAAAGATACAACAGTGACCCCAAGTCCATGAAGGGATATTTTGGTATTAATGAGGTGAGGTTTCAATTTCAAATCATAGCAGTGGCATCATCATCATACTTAAGGTTTAAAAAACATACACCAAAATCTACAAATTTAACATAATTATAAAACGGAAACCAATTGTTTGTATTTCACATTTTACAAATTAGTTTATAATGTTAATAAAATTAAGCTCTGCTGGAATTGGCGTATTTAATACAGTGGGGCAAAATATTTATGGAAGTTGCACATTTTGCATGATTCACTCTTGCTCATAAAAGCTTAATTGCATCAATTAACAATTTTGAAATGATTTTTTAATTTTTATATATAAAAAAATACCAACCTCGAAACTGCATAACATTTTTAAAAAGAAAATTGATATATAAATTCATTTTCTAAACTCACTTTTTAAACTCAATATGTATAAATCATTTAATTGATTAATAATTAAAGAAAATATGAATAAAAAAATTGTTTTAAATATTCTAAAACAATACGTTAAATTGAAACTTAAATACCCTCATCCTTTTTAAAATTTGTCAACCATTGTCCTTCAAGTAGTACAATAATAAAGAGTTCAAGGAACAGAGTATCTGACTTCACTGCGATTTGCATTTGTTCATAGAAAAGCCAAAGAAATTTTCTAGATTCCAATCTAGAGATTTTCTCTGGATTTCTCTGGATTTCAAGAAACAGTAATGAAGAGTTCAAGAAACAGAGCATCTGACTTCACTGTAATTTGCATTTATCCATGGAAAGGCCAAAGAATTCTCTGGATTCTAGTCTAGAGATTTTCTCTGGATTTCCAAAGAATTTCTATGGATTTTCTCTACATTTCAAGAAACAGTAATGAAGAGTTCAAATAACAGAGCATCTGGCTTCACTATGATTTGCATCTGTCCATATACGTGATACATATACAACTCCTCAAACCCTAAAACTTTAAATCCGAAATTCAAGAACTCAACATCCCTAAATCCTTTAAGACCCATGAATACCATACAAAATTGTCAAACAAATCATAATCACATTGTTCATGAGACAGAGTTTCAAGTACACACATAAACACAAGGATATTCAAGAAACACATATTTGCATCAACTATATTGCAGAAAATGAAGAAAATAAAACATGGGGGAAATAGAAAGAGAGAAAGATAGAATATATATCAAAAAACAAAACTCTAATATTCAATAAACTCATATTACATGTGTATGGTTTGTATGTATTTGTTTATTTTATATATATACACGCACATACACAAAAACAAATCAAAGAATCTAGATGAAACAAACCCTAATCAGAACTACCATGAAAGATTTCTTAGACTTGTGTTCGATAATCACATATTCATACCATAAGCATAAAACAAAGCAGAGGTTTGTAAATCTATCAATGTGTGCATATATATATAGAGAGAGAGACAGAGAGAAAGGAGGAGATTATATAGTAGATGCAATCGCGAGAGGAGATGAGGGAGAATATGGCAGTGGCGGGAGGAGATACGGCGATAGAGAAGAGCTATCGACGACAGGAATGGAGGTGGAGTTCGTTGGGGAGAGAAGAGCAGAGAGAGAGAAAGAGAGGGAGAGTCCGGTTTGATTTGATAGAATTAAATTTCTCCGTGATATATAAGTGTCAGGGTTGAGGAATCTTAGACATCACAAAAGAATATTGTAGGCCTCTTCCATTACTAAAAATGAGATACGGACCATAGACTAATTTTATTTTTATTTTTTGGGTAAAAAAATTAAAATTATTTTGTACACAATATTTTCAAAATAATAATAATAATAATAAAACATATTTAATAAATTGCTAAAGGTGATAACGTGATAGAGAGCTCGCATGTGGAGGTAACTGACTAGAGGGTCGCTAGAGCTCGCCGAAGGGTCACTAACAGTGTCAATGGTGGCCTACAGTGGGTGGTGGCTCAAGTTTGGAAGAGGGAGAGTGAAAATTTGTTTTGAAAAAATACATATATTTTTTTGTTTTCAAAATTTTAAAAAAAAAATTGAAATTAAATTTTTTTTTTTTCCTTTACAACAAAAATCATATACAAACATATCATTATTACAAAAAAAATCTCAAAATTAAAGAGAAATTCAAACAAATACAAGGAAAATAATACCCAGAAGAAAATTTTGGTCAAGGGTGCTGGCCAATTGATTGCAGTGTTGGTTAAAGGTACACTTAAGTTGAGAAACTAAAATCACTGACACTAGGGAATTTGAAAACCGAACATACAGAATCAAATACAAAAACATATGAACGATCAAGATTACGCAATGGAATCTGCTTCTGAAAAATCATGTCTACCAATATATTTTATATGTTCAATTCTATATTTGAATTTTGTGTTATTACACTCATAGAACTTCGAAATAGGATTCAAACATATGTGAATGATGATGAAGAAGTTCATGATTTGGCACAAGCTACACAAGAAAAGAACTTAGAAGCAAAGGATTTGGATTTATACTCTGGTGGTTTGGGCGGATCATCATCATTTGGGACACAAATCTGGGACTCATCTGCACCACTTGCCTTAGCTTTCTCACATTCTTCTAAGAATTTCTTGAAGGAATTATTGACATACTTAACTGCCTCATCAACAGTCATGTTCTCTACAAGTTTGTCAGGATAAATATCCTTCTTGTGGTCCCCACATAATGTTGCTGCCATTTGTACCATCTCTTCTTGGAACTCTGTTAATTTTGCATTTTCTTTTGCTTCTGCCTCTCTCAGCTTCACTGGTTCAGGTAATTTAACTGTAATATGCATTACACCATGGAAACAATTATCTTCCAACTCCCAAAATAATTCAAATAAAAAGTTACAAGCATGCTAATTCGAAAAATGTTCGTATTGACTATTGGTACTTTATATGGTTACTTCTATATGTGTATTGCGTACACCAAAACACGTACTTATTTTTATTTTTATTTTTAATTTTAACTGCATCATCAAGAATTGTATTTTCTTCCATATAAAGGTGCATTTAGTTTAATTGTACTTTATTTTACACATTGCTTTTGGCATTAAATTGTGGACGGGATCCTCAACCAACAAGATTATTTATTGTAAATTAAATATATATATATATATATATATATTTACAAATGTAATCAGCCGTCCTCATATTTTATATTTTTAAAGATTTTACTGTTAATAGACATACAGGGTACCAATTGAATGTCGTAATCTTCATTGTTGTTTTACATCGAATGTTGTATGTCTCTTAGGGCCATGTTTTATTTATGCATAAGGAGACGGAATAACATTGTTTTATTCTAGAATTAAATTATCAAGTGATTCAGATTTTGTGATCCCGAATAATTTAACTTGAATATATAGAATTATTTTTGTTGCGGGACAACTTATCTCATAGCAAAACATTGGCTCGAGTGTCACACAGATGGGAAACAAAAATTAGGGGAAAATTGAGGTAACAGCTTGGTAGATTTTACCTGGACAGTCAGTTCTTGGGCTGCTTCGGCTAACAACACCTTCAAAAGTGCCAGCCCAGGAATCACGCTTAGTCAAGAACTCTTTCAAATTGAAAATCTTTTTAACAGTTGCTGGAATTGAAGAATGCTCAAACTCTGATGTGGGATATGGCCCTGAAGGCCCATGCAACACTACAATTTCAATCATCAATACCATTAATTTCTTTCCTTGTCAATGAAATTATTAAACATTTTCCTTCAAATAAATGTGCACTTTCATTGACTCTAACAACTAAGCAAAGGATGACCAATAAAAGTGCGGCTGGTCTTGCGAAGTTGGGAGCTAATCAAGTTGAGCCTCTTGTAGTCATGTAGGAGGCTCCTGAAGAAATTAGAGGGCTCGTGATAGCAGACATGGTTGGGCAGGGCTATCCCTGGCCCTGATCTGTGTTCCCTATCTGCTCAGTTCGTGCCTCTTCGTCCTTTCTGTTTTCATTTTCCAATGTACCAAAAAAAAAAAAAAAGAATGACCAATAAAAGAAACCACGAGTTCCATCCTAATAACAAAATAAATTATGATTTTTTAATGTTGTCAATTTAATTTTTAAATTTTTGATTTGTTTTCAATCTAAATTATTTGACTATTTTCATTAAGTAAAATTGACAAGAAAAAATGTATTCTGGTCACTAAGCTCAACGAAAATGGTATTTAGACATTTATACACACCTATATCAAATTTAATGACCGATAATTATTTTTTCGTTAGTTTTAATAAAAAATAATTGACTTATTGCTTAGATTGAAAACAAGTAAAAAAAATTAGGATTAAAATTTTAAGATTTATTATGTTATAATAGTCAAATTCTTGATTTTTTTTATAAATATAATTATTCCCCCCCCTCCCAAAAGAAAGAGAGAGAGAGACACACACATGGTCTTATGTATCTTTAGACCCCAGGCGGTTTGGTGTTTTGTGGTATTGATCTGGGTTTTGGTGTTACCCTGGTGATGGTACTCTAGTCATGTGTTTGTTGTCGCCATAAAATTTTGATTACTTCAAAAAAAAAAAAATAAATAAATAAATAAATCAGATGTGTGTCCTACATATGTTAAAAAGTATTCAACTAATATTAGGCCATTTGTTTGGGCGGACTGGATTAGCATTCCCATGACTAATAGTCCTAGGATTACGAATCCGTTGGATTATGTATCCTATCTTAACTAATAGTCAAGTTTAAAATAATTAATCCGTACTTCAATTGTTTAACCAAACATTGAATTAATAATTTTATTGAACTATTAGTCCAATCCCAAGCTCATGTCCACCCAAACAAAAATGGCCTTAATGTTCATAGGATACATTTTTAAAAGTGTTTATATAGTTATATGAAAAATGTTATGTAATTCAAATTTATACTCATAAAGCAACGTGTAAGATTATCTGAAAATTAATATAGATGGTGCTTGGAAAGTGAGTTTTTATGTAGGTTTTTTTAGTTGTAGGTTTTTATTAGATAAAAAATTTTTGGTGTTTGGGAAGATAGTTGAGTTTTTATGTAGTTGGATGTGATGTTTGTGAGAAACAAAATAAAATGGTTATGGAGTTAGATGTGATATTTTGTTTGAATGTGTTTTTTTTAGTTTTGTAAAAAGTTTATCTTTTAGTAAAAAAAAATGAGAAAAAAATTCGGAACCTAGGTTCCCAAACACCACCATAGTCGATCAATATAATTTTTAAAATATATAATATTGTTGATAATTTATACCTGTACCGCGTTCAATCCACGGAGAAATCATAATGGCTGGAACTCTAACACCAAGACGGTCAAATTGAAAGTTATATGGTGCGGAACCCACAAGGCCATCCGGACTTGGAACGCCGGTCATCGGAGTAGGCACATGATCATAAAAACCACCATGCTCGTCATATATGATGATGAACAACATTTCATTCCATTGGGGACTTGATCTAAGTGCTTCATACACTTCCTTAACAAATTTCTGGCCCTCAAAGACATCATGAGAAGGGTGATCATCATTCCCTGGCAATATTTTCAAGTCAAAGTACCTTTGTTCAACTACCACATAGTTTGGTAGCTTTCCCTCTTTACAATGCCTCTTGAAGTGTAGATCAAAGCCATGAAAATTCTTTACATACTTCAATTTTCTAAGGTTCCTACAAGGACACAAAACGAAATGTATTCATCACAATGATGTTGGAAAAACAAAGCATTATGTTAAAGAAATCATGACATCAAGATTTTGAACGATGCAATAACAATTTCTAAGTACGATTGTATGACTACAAATGTCTTGATAGAGAGAAATAAAAATTTTAACAATGAAGGATTTCGTATTTTGCTTATTTACACTCATTTTTATATATTTCAGTTTTTTTATTTTTTTATTATTTTTTTTTTGGTACATATTTCAACAAAAAAAAAATCACTAAAAAATATTACTTCCAAACAAAAATTATATTAGATTTCTACAACAAAAGAGGATCCTGTGCCTAATTGCATAGTTAATCTGAAAATCATATTAAATTTTTATAATAATAATAATAAAATAAAATAAAAAAGGTCGCTAATGATGAATGGTACACTTGAAAGGTTTTAACAATTTTCATTTATTGGGAGTAGTTTCGCATATGTGCTTTTGACATGTAACATGAATTATTTAATCGACTACTTATATATATATATATAGGTAAATTACACCAACTTGTTTTGAAGTTTAAAAAAATATATAATTTAAAAAATATATATAACTTTCATAATTTTAATATAATTATATTAGATTTCTTTAAAATTTTAATTTACGGGACACTTAACCTCATTTTTATTAAATATGAATAAAAAAATTATACTATCACATCTCATACATAGAAATGTATATTATCTTTATTTATTATTGTGTCTTCATACTATCCACGTTAGTTATGATCTTTTTAATCTTACTAAAAAGAATGTTACTGTAATTATAATATTAAAACTCTTATTTTAGAGCTTTAAAACATTTTTGAATGAGAAAAATGTTAAAACATCACATCATATAAGGCACCATCCCTTAGAGCTCTATTAAAACTCTTATTTTAGAGCTTTAAAACATTTTTGAACTAGTTATCCCATGCCATGGCCCATGTAAAAGATTTTGAATGAGAAAAACAGTTGGAATCTACGATTTTATTATTCGTAAGAGTTATGTTAGGAATAATGAAAAAAATATTATGAAATGTTTTATGAAAATTCTCTATTCTTAAATTACATAATAAAACACCACATAAATCAAAGAATGAAAAATTTTCATAAAACATTTTCATAATATTTTTTTCATAATCCCTAGCAGAACTTTATTCGTAGTTGGAAAATTAACATGAGATGCTAGCATTTTATTATGGGAGAATTGTAAAAATAAAAAATAAAAAATAAATAGCATCAATGCAAAATAATTGCAATGTTACAAAAATACAAGCAATTTATGCATTATACTGTGCAACTAAGTCTTGTACTTTCATATTTTAATAATTATTTTGAATTTATATTATTTTATTGTAATTTTCTCTTTTATTATTACTTTGCCCACGTGGGACTCATATAGGATTTCATATTCAATGTTCTGGATGATTCATAAATTTTGATAAAGATTTAAAAAAAAAAAAGATTGAAAAAAGATAATAAAATTTGCATAAAATATAATTACATGTTACTTAAATTTCATATTTTTCATTCTCTTTTCAAGTCTCTACCCAACCTACAAATAGCCTTAAATTTTTACGATAAAAATGTAATACTATATTTGATTACTAAAGTTACACTTTTAAATTCAAAACTCAAAAGTATAAGATATAACAAATAAAAAAAATAAGGGATAATTGCTCCCCGGTGTATGTCAGTAATAATTATAATTTTAGTTATTAATATTTTAAAAAAATATTTATTAATTTGTAATTATTTTTTCAAATCCCTACTGATTTGATATTTCTCCAAAAAATTAAGACCCGGTCAAATTGACAAAACACAAACATTTTTTTTAACAATTAATTAAGAGCATATTCGGATCAGATATTTTACAAGCTTTTTCATTTGACCTTCAACTTTGTTCTTTTTACTAATTTTTAATTTTAAAGTAAAAAGTAAGAATCATCAGAGTTGTGACCAGTCAACCAAATTTTTAAAATAATAATAAAATAATTTTTAATATTTATTTTAAGATAAATTATAGTAAATCTTCTTAAACTAAAATTTATTTATATTTTGTTATTTTAAACTTTAAAACTTGACAGTTAATCACCTCAAATCTTGTTATGATTAACTCTTTTTGTAAGAATTCTGTTGAAAATTTACACAAAATCAGTTTATATGCAAAATATATAATATATTTATTAAATTTTTAGTTCAATAATGTCTTTATTTTGTTATCTCGTTTACACTTTACTATTAAAATAAGAGAGACAAGTGTTTAATAGTTTGAATCATGAGCTGGATTATTGAAGGAGACAAGTCAGCAAAGCAACCATAATTTCTTCGGAAGCAACAGTTAGGAAAATGATACATCTCCTAAAAATGAAACTTTAAATAGAGTTTTACACACAGTGAAATTTAAAAAAAAAAAATAAAAAAAAAACAAAAAAAAAAAACAGCTTTATTCAAGCTCTTATTTTAGGCCTAGTTTGGAAACCATCTTTTTTAGCCAAAAAGTCAAAAAGTTATTAAATTAGCCAAAAAATCAACAATCCATACCAAAAAGTCAAAGATTTTCTCTTCTCTCTACTTTTTGCATATTTTTTCGTAAAAAGCCAAAAAATCATCCCAAACATACTAATTTTTTTTAAATCATATTTTAGCCAAATAATCAAAAAGTTATTAAATTAGCTTGTTCCCAAACGAGGTCTTAGAGTTCTAAAACATTTTTGAACCAATTATCTCATTCCATGCCCCATGTAGAAGATTTTGAATGAGAAAAACAGTTAGAATCTGTCATTTTATTATTTGTAGGAGTTATGTTATAGGGATAATAAAAAAAATATTATGAAATGAAAATTTTCTATTCTTAAATTACATATATAATAAAACACTACATAAATTAAAGAATGAAAATTTTTTATAAAACATTTTCATAATATTTTTTTTTTTTATAATTCATAGCAATACTTTATTCGTAGTTGGAGAATTAACATGAGATGCTAGCATTTTATTATGGGAGAATTGTAAAAAAAAAAAAAAAAAGTAATATCAATACAAAATAATAGCATTGATATTAAAATACAAGCAATTTATGCATTATACTCTGCAACTAAAAGTCTTGTACTTTCGTCTCTTTATAATTATTTTGAATTTATATGATTTTATTGCAATTGCCCCTTTTGTTATTACTTTGCCCACGTGGGATTCATAGGATTTCATACTCATGGCTATGTATGATTCATAAATTTAGATACGACAATGCTACGTATCTCAAATTTTGTGGCTTAAATGGTCAAAACGACGTCACGTCGTTTTGAGTACAGAACAACATAAAAATGACCAAAACGATGTCGTTTTGGCCATTTGAGCCACTTTTGAGCCACAAAATTTGAGCTACGAGACATTTTCCATTTAGATAAAAATTTTGAAAAAAAAAAAAAGGAAAGATGAATAAAATTTACATGAAATATAATTACATTTTATTTATATTTCATATTTTTTATTTTCTTTTCAAGCCTCTACCCAACCTATGAGTCAAATAGCCTTAAATTTTTACAATAAAAATGTAATACTATTTGATTACTAAAGTTACACTTTTAAATTCAAAACTCAAATCCATCTATAATAATATGACAAGACGGTTGAGTAAGATATAATAAATAAAAAAAATTAATGGATAATTGCTCCCCAGTGTGTGTCAATATAAAAAAATTATATATTCATAAAAAAAGATTGATAATTCTAATTATTAATTTTTTTAAAATTTTATTGATTTTTAATTATTTTTCCAAACCCCTACTGATTTGATATTTCTCCAAAAATTAACACCCGGTCAAATTGACGGAACATAAACATTTTTTGAACAACAAATTAACAGCATATTCGGATCAGATATTTTACTAGCTTTTTCATTTGACCTTCAACTTTGTTCTTTTTACTAATTTTTAATTTTAAAGTAAAAAGTAAGAATCATCAGAGGTGTGACCAGTCAACCAAATTTTAAAAATAATAATGAAATAATTTTTAATATTTATTTTAGGATAAATTATAGTAAATCTTCGTAAACTAAAATTTATTCATATTTTGTTATTTTGAACTTTAAAATTCACAGTTAATCACCTCAAATCTTTATATATATATATATATATATTTGTAAGAATTCTGTTAAAAATTTACACAAAATCAGTTCATGTGCAAAGTACATAATACATTTATTAAAATTTTAGTACAATAATATCTTTATTTTGCTATCTTGTTTACACTTTGCTATTAAGATAAGAGAGACAAAGTGCAAATAAGATCACCAAAGAAAATTATTATTATCCTGAAAAATCAATAACAAGTATTATTCACCTAAAAAATTAATAAGTATGTCATGTGTTTAGCACATAAGTTGATTGTGTTTAACAACTTAATAGAATCTTAACAAAAAATGTTAATTATAACAAGATAATAGATTGAAGGAGTTAATTGTTAAATGGGGCAAAATGTAAATGTGACATAATTTTCAGGGATATACTATAATTTGCCCTTTACTTTATCTATTTACACCTACTAATTAGTTGGTTTACTCCTAGGCTATGTTTGATTCACAAGGCTAATAGTGAAAGTATTAATAATCTCATTAAATTAATGTGATATTCACTATCTAATTGGATTAGTAAGATAAATTATCTCATTGTCCATTGTTTGATTTGCATTGGATAAGAGAATATATGAATATAAGATGACAATTATATTTATCTTATTTTCTAATCTTACCCTACATCAATGTTTCTTCACAATATTTACTTTTTCAAAATTTCTTCATAAACGTGGTTTTGAAAAATATTATTAATAAATAAATAAAAGCAAAATAAAAATACAAAATATAAAGGTCATGTTTGGTTTATTTTTTAATATTTTTTAAAAAATATAAACTAATTTAATAAAATAAATATCAAAAAATATTTTTAAATTTTTAAAAATTATTTTTAGTCTTCTAAAATATAAAATTATATAAAAATACCAAGGTTGCGTTTGGTAAAATTTTCTAAATATGATTTGAGAATAGAATTGTATTTTGAGTTTGTGAGTTTTGAAATTATGATTTGAGTATGGAGAATTTGTTTAGTGAAGTGTTTTGAATTGAGTGGAAAATTTTTGATGTGACGTATGATACTTGATACAAAAACTTACAACTCATAACCAAACATACAATTCAAAATTCTATTCAAAACTCATAAAAAATTTTAAAAAATTCAGAAAATATTTTTTATTGAATATATAAAAATAAAAATGTGTCAATTGCAAAAAATAAAAATAAAAAAAAATAATGCACCGTTCCAGTCAACCGGTGGAACGACCAGTTAGTTCAAATTTTTTCGCTTTTGACAGAGTTTTAAAAAATGAGTGTGAAATTAATTTTTAAAAACCGTAAACAAACACAGTGTACAAATTAAAGCCTAAAACTAACGTTCCAAAACTCTACCAAACAGAGCCTAAGTGTTTTAATTTTTAGTCAAGGGTAAAAGAGTCTTTTTATATTATTTCCCAGCTCAGAATATATAATCTTACCGCTACCCCATTACTAATAATCCTACAAATTTGTTTGATTAATTATCCATTGAATTAATAATTCTAAAATAAAATTTCAAAACAAATACAGGATTATTGAGTCTACAAATTGATAATTCCAATCACATGCTCTAATCCTATCAATTCAACATGCCCCTAGATTAGAGTCCTAATTCTCGGCCGCACAATCCTACGGCCCTCCCTGCCGCACTACAAAACGACGCCGTTTTGTAGTTTTTTTTTCTCCTTTGTTTCTTATTTGCTTTCTCCTTTTCTTTTTTGAACCCTAGATAGATCGACAGAGGCGACAAATCTGGACGAGAGACTGATGGAGGAGACGATCTAGACGAGAGTCTGAGCCGACGAACGAAGAGGCGACAGAGGCGAGGCGAGGCGACAAAAGGAGAGGCGACAGAGGCATGGTGAGAACAAGCGGCGGTGAGATGACTGGAGAGGGTAACAGACAGAGTCGGTGAGAGACGAAGAGAGAGGGTGGCGAGGTTCGTTTCTCTCCCTTTGGTTACAATCGGACTCGCGTCGCGTCACAGCCGAACTCGCGTCCCTCCGCCATCGTCGCGTCACAGCTGGACTCACGTCCCTCTGCTATCGTCGCGTCACAGCCGGACTCGCGTCCCTCCACCAACCTCTCTCTATCAACGTCGCCTCCCTCCACCATCTCTCTCCGTCTTCGCAGATGGCGCCGATCGTCTCTCCGTTCGTCGATTGTCTCATTTTGTCCAGCTGTGCCTCTCTTCTCTCTCTCTCTCTATCTAGCTGCGTGGTTAGGGCTAAACAGAGGAGACACGGATGAAGATGGAACAAAAATTTAAAGAAAAAAAAAACAACTAAATAAAACGACGACGTCGTTTTGGGGAGTGCGGAAGGGAAGGCCGCAGGAAAGAGCGGCCGACGATTTCACTCCCTAGATTACACCACATACATTGGCGCTATTAAATTCTAAAAAATCATTGAAGAAAAATTATATATATATATATACATATATGGATAATATTGACTCAACAAACTTATTAAAATGACCTTAATGCACTGACATTTTTTTACATAAAAAAAAGGAAAATTATATTAATAGTCTCGTATTTTTTCTATTGTGTTATTTTAGTCTCTTATACTTTTATTTGTCTCAATTTTATTAGATATGTTAATTTGCCTCCATTTATACCACTAGTTAGAGCATCTTCAATGGCAAGTTATTGGAGTTGCTATTGCTGTAATTTGGTAGTAGTTGACAAAAAGCTTGCTTCAATGGCAAGTTATGGCAACTATCAAATTTGACAAATGCCAAACTTGTGTCAAATTTGACACAAGCTTTGATTGTTGTGCCAACTCACAACAAAAATTTCATTGCCTCCCAACAAAACATTCATCCTTCCTTTATGTCCGTTACTTTTGCAAAACGAAAGCTAGAAATTGGTGTGTGTGGAACGTTCGACCGAATGTCTCACATACACACTAGTTTCTGTGTCAAAATAGCAAAAATGACAGCTCTTCATTGGAACACCATTGCTATAATTTGAGCAAAATGTTACTATTTATTGCCATAATTTGGCAATGGCAATGCTATTATAGCATTTTCCATTGGAGACACTGTTAAGGTTTTTGATAAAATTAGTTAAGATTAACTCATTGAGCAAATTTACAATGTTATTTCTAAAATCATGACGGTTTACATGCATGGTTTTAATCTATTGAACAAAATTAATATAAAATCATAAATTTAGAATTAGTTAAAATTAGGAGAACCAAAATGACCTGAGGGTCACCGAATGGGAATTTAAATTTAATTTATCCTAAAAAGAAAAAAAGAAAAAACAAAACAAAACAACCAAATTAGATTTATTCGAATTCCAAAGACCATCCCATTTTGGCCAAAACAGAAAAAAACCATCTCTTTTTCCGAATTTTCTCTCTAGTGATTTTTTTTTTTTTCAAAATTAAGTCAAAATTTTGTATTTTCTCAGTTTGTCTTGTCAAATCTAGAAAATTTCTTTTTTTTGAAAAATTCTAGAAAAAAATCACTAAAGATAAAAATAAGCTAACAAAAATTGCTATTTTGACTTATTTTTTGTCTTTTCTTGAATTTTTTAGAAATTTTTTTAAAAAATTGTAATTTTGAGAGTCGTCTTGTGGAGTTAAATTTAAAAACTTGCTTTTTATGAAAAATTCAAGAAAACATCGGTAAAGACGAAAAGAAGCCAAAATTAATTTCTCCAAGCTCAAAAAAAACTTTTTCAATGAGTCCACTTCACAAACCACCAATTATTCTTCAAATTTCTCTAATCAAAAAATGAAAATTCGTTGAGAATAACCGTAGAAATTTTTGCATTTACAACTCTTTTATAAAAAATTTATATGAATGGACTAGTTTTTTTATATATAAAATTGATATATATACACATATTAATAGGAGTAATTTTATTTTGGAAAAATTACAACACAGTGCTTGTTTTACAAAATAATTATAAATTTATAATAAAATTTATGACTTTAATTATTAATATAGATAAACTTGACTAATAATTTAAAATTATTTTTAAAAACATGCCCTGAATAGTAATTGTCCCAATATTTTATTTTTATTTTTTATATATATAAATTTTAATCATTAAAAAAAAATTAATGAGCAGAATGATCATATACAATCACCTGTAAAAAAGTGTGGCTGGAGGGGCTTGATAGTAGATTCCAAAGCTATGACCCTCTTCATCCAAGGACTCAAATATAGTCTTCTGAGGAAACCCTTCTATCAACTTCTTGGTATCATTACTCGTGGCCCCATGCGACGTCGCAGAGTGCACAAACAACCGGTTCGGCTGCGTGGACGCAGGCACCGCCGCGAACCACCGGTCACACACCGCATACTCCGCCACCAGCTCCTTGTAAACCGCCACTGACTCCGGTTTAAACCCGTTCATCACCGTCTCCGACATCCCTTTCTGTGTCCTCTCTGCATTCTGTGCAAAACCTTGCATAGTGGGTTGGAGATTTTGGGATGCGGAGTTTTGAGTCCATGGTTGGCCGAAGATTTGTTCGTACATGGCTTGGATGGAGTGACCCGGGTCCGAGTCCACGTATATGGAGTTTTGGCCGAAGAAGAGGCGGTTCGAACCGGGGTCGGAGGTGGAGAGAGGGTTTGATTCGGAGCCGGTTACGCCGTTGATTTGTGGGTTTAAGGATTTCATCCAACCGAGCATGTGGTCGAATGAGCGGTTCTCTTGGACTAGAACCACCACTGTTTTGATTGGGAATGGTGGGTTTGGAGTTTCTGAAGCCATTGGTGGTGGTGGAGGAGGAGGATGGTATTTGGGTAAAGTTGGAGTGGGGTTTTTAAAGTGTTCGTAACGAAAGAGAGGGGATGAGGGATGAGGGATGAGGTTGATAGGGTGAAGAAATGGGAACACAGAGAGAGAGAGTGTGTTGTTGAGAAATAATTGTTTTGTGACAATTTTTTATATACGTTGCTAAAAATTAATAAGTAGTGACTTTTTTTTTACTATAATAAATGGAGAGCTATCCGGTTTTCTGTTGAATATTGGCAAGTGACGAATGAAGAGACAGATATTGGGAGGATTAGGATTGGGAATTCGAAGAGTTAAGATTTTTATTTTTTGTTTATTTTATTTTTTGTCGGTAATTATATAGTCACCTCTTCCGTAGTTAGGAGACAAAGGTAAAAAAATTTAATAATTTTGACATAATTATATTAATTTAATTAATTAATTTTTTTTTATCAATAATAGTTATTCATATAAATGAAAAAAAAATATTTATCATCTTACATTAAAATTTATATTATTTTCAGGATAAATTACACTAGCAGCCCTTGAAATTTTAAAAAAAATATAATAAGTTTAATAGTTTTGACATAATTACATTGAACTCTCTTTTAATAAGATTAATGCAGATGGAATGAAAATACTAAGATAAACAAAATAAATATATATTTTAGTATAAAACAAATGACAGCATTATTTTTTTTTATTTATATAACTAATGAATTTCTAATAAAAAGAGTGTCAAGTGTTATAATTAAAATCTTAAAAGAAACTAATATAATTATGTCAAACTTTTGAGGTTTATTATATTCTTTGCAAATCTTATGGGAGGTCATGTAATTTACCCTATATTTTATTTATCTTCATATTTTCACATTATCTGTATTATTTTCCCTCTAGCCTTCCTATAAGGCAGATCAGTATGGTTGTGTTAAAATTCCACGGCATGCTATATTTTTTTTTTTTCAAATTTCAAAACAGATCTATGTAATTCACCCTTCATTTTTTTAGATTTTGCAAATTTCGTTTCGAAAATAAACGCACAACACTCTATTGTTTGTGGGCTAAAATATATTGTCAAAAAGACTAAAATACCTTATTATAAGTAACCTCACTGTGCAAATCTTGGACATTTTTGTCATTTTATAGGAGGCAAAGTTCACTTTAATTCCCATGTATTTTATTCTATATGCAATTTACTTCCTAACATTTGAAAATTATCACTTAAAATCATTATTCCAATTTTTAATAGTGGATCAAGGTCCATGAGTTTAAATTAGAATAATTATTTTAAGTGCAAATTACACAAGTAATCCTTACATTTTGTTCATTGTGTCATTTTAGTTTCTAAACTTTCAATTTGCTCAATTGTGACTTTTAATTTTAAATTGTATCAATTTCGTCCAATTGACAATGAGCATTTTACGAAAAATGATTACTAAGTTGGTTGAGATTAATTAATTAAATTGTTCAAGTTTATAATTTTTCCTTTAGAAGTATGACACATGCCACTTATATGCTCATTTTTCTTATAAAATAATGTTAACAATCGTAATCAATTGAACCAAATTAGGACAAGATAAAAGATTCATAATCAAAATTGAACCGATTAAAATTATAATGACCAAAATAACACAATAAAAAAATATAAAAACTACTGATGTAATTTACTTTTATTTCAAATTAAAGAAAAGTCATAACACTTATTGAGGTAATTTTTCATATCCGTTTGATGATATATTAGAAATTTTCCATGAGGTCATGAAAAGGGGGAATTGGGGTCACTGCTGTGCCAGAGGCACTCATTTTGAGACACATTATGTGCTTATTTTTATGATCTGAACCGTTACGTTTGTAATATTTGTTGAGTACTTTATGCTTGTCAAAAATCATATTAATCGGATATCAATAACTATATGATCGAATTGCATATTTTTATACTATTTTTCAAAAGAAAAACTTCTTGTTTATTTTTTTGGTTATCAATCATATAGTTATTGATATCCGATTAATATGATTTTTGGTAGGCATGAAGTACTGAACAAACCCTACAACATGAACGGTTCAGATTATAAAAATAAATCTATAATACACTACAAAATGAAACACAACAGTCATTACTATGTCAAAGATACAACAGTGACCCCAAGTCCATGAAGGGATATTTTGGTATTAATGAGGTGAGGTTTCAATTTCAAATCATAGCAGTGGCATCATCATCATACTTAAGGTTTAAAAAACATACACCAAAATCTACAAATTTAACATAATTATAAAACGGAAACCAATTGTTTGTATTTCACATTTTACAAATTAGTTTATAATGTTAATAAAATTAAGCTCTGCTGGAATTGGCGTATTTAATACAGTGGAGCAAAATATTTATGGAAGTTGCACATTTTGCATGATTCACTCTTGCTCATAAAAGCTTAATTGCATCAATTAACAATTTTGAAATGATTTTTTAATTTTTATATATAAAAAAATACCAACCTCGAAACTGCATAACATTTTTAAAAAGAAAATTGATATATAATTTCATTTTCTAAACTCACTTTTTAAACTCAGTATGTATAAATCATTTGATTGATTAATAATTAGAGAAAATATGAATAAAAAAAGTTGTTTCAAATATTCTAAAACAATATCACAACATTGTTTTTGAAAAATAAATTTAATTTTTAAACTTAAATACCCTCACCCTTTTTAAAATTTGTCACCCATTGTCCTTCAAGTAGTAAGGCTTATTTTTTTTCATACATCATTATTTACAAACATACGTTATGTGTATTTTAAGATTTAATGTTGACTAATAAATATCTTTGGCGGTTCAATTTTTAGTATAATGCCACGTGTTGCAGTATTATGAAAACGTTAAACAGATCGGAGTGGAAGTTACACCTAGGAATAAAAGCATATGCTACGCGTAACGCGTTGTACATAATAGTAAGGATGTGTTTGGTAGCTGTAATATATCCAAAAGAAAAACAACCAAAAAATCATTTATTTTTATCAAATAAATGGTCAAAACTTCAAAAAGTCCAAGTTGGACCACCCCCAGCCGTCTAAAAATTGTCATAATTTCGGTTATGTTTAAGAGGTTGGTTTGAGGTTATTTTAATTATAAAAAAATGAAGGGGTAATTTGAAAAGTTAGTTAAAATTAAATTTTTATTTTTTAATTTATTTTAGATCACATCATTTTTTATATTTTTATACACAAAAGAATTAAAAAAAAAATCAAAAAATTAGCTTTTAACCAAATTCTCAAATCACTCCAAAATAGATTATAAAATAAAATGTCACGTTCAAATCATAATCGTTTTATTTTTTTTCTTACAAAAATTTTAAAAAAAAAGATCAAAAAAATCTATCCAAAATAAAAAAACTTTTTAACTCTGAATTAAAATAATCAAAACAAATTAAAAAAAACTAACTCACACTTCAAACGTGGGCTTAGTTAGACGTGTTGCATTCTATGCAACCAACTTTGCTTTTCACAAGTTAATACCGTCTAAAAATTGTCATAATTTAGTTGTACGCGTTGCATTCTATGCAACCAAGATTACTTTTTTTGGAGGGTTCCATGCAACCAATTTTGCTTTCACAAGTTAATTGCACAGTTCCAATCTGAAAATAATAATAATAATAATTAATTGCAGAGTTGGCGACAAGCAAGTAAATCATGTTTAATAATTGATTTAGGAAGTTTTCATAAGTTACGAAATTGTTGTGTAACATTTTTGTTTAAATTGTGAAAAATTAAACTTGTCTAAGTAAATTCTGTCAAGTAATCTTTTAATATAACCAATGGAGATAATGATATTGGTTAGAACTCCTGCACTTTATTAGGAGGTCAAGATTTGAATCTCCTCACACATAAAAGTTTAAAATTTTAATTAAAAAAAAAAACCTCTCTAGTAGTCTTAACTTTTTTTTCCCCATCCGAAAAGCCAGTCAAAATACTCAATGATTTTTTAAAAATTTCTTTTAAAGTTATAAACTTAAAAAACGAAGTTATAACTATTTGTGACCATTAATTAATTTGTCAAATAATTAAATAATAATAATAATAAAAGTTTAATAATGTAACGCCTCTGAAAATAATACGATAAAAACCAACTCATAAGCGGAAGAATAATAGAAATAAAATATTTTCATTCATCAGAGTTTGTTTACAAATGTTAACACATGCGATATATATTCACAAATATTTATCTTGAATCTACAACATGTGTTGTAATGATAAGAGAGTTAAAAACTAAACAAGTAATTATATGTCATGTAGGCTTACATCTTTCCAAGTCATTGCTTGGTTACACAAAAATAAGCATAGCTCAATACAATTTAAAGCCCTTAGCTATACAAAATATAACAAAAGAAAGAAGCTCTTGCTCCCGGAGGTCCCTCCAAGCTATTGCCCTAGCGGAGGTATGTCACCAGCACCTGAAAATGTTTTTCTCAAATAGGGTGAGCCAAAACCCAGCAAGAATAATCTAACACAATATATGAGATTTAACAAAGATATAAGTACAATGTGCATATACAATGCCTGTGACAAACCATTTACATTGCTATATCATCAAGAAGTAACAAGTTCATATCTTATTTCACTTTCCTTCAATCCATTAGCAAATTTCATTATCTTTCAACAACTCAACTGACACTACAACTCAGGGGTTATCTAATCAAGACAATTACCACACAAACACTCAAAATCTTCCATTTTACGGAAATTTTGTCCCTGAGATTGGCACCCATGTATACACAAGATTTTGGGACTTTCACCCTAGACACTCCAGTCAACTTAATTTCAATGGAGTCTCTCCCCTATCTCCTCCCAAATAATGGAGTACATCTCCTTTTTCTCTCAAACAATCAATGACAACCAACATTAGATTAGTTTCAATTTATCTAATCCACATGCAATTTTAACAACAATCATAGCTATCCTCTACCGATAGCCCAAAATATATATTTCTAAACAGATATACAATCTTCTTAAGAGATAAATTATTCAAATTTTCATAGGTGAGAGACAACACTTGTCCAACTCCACCATTTACATCAAAAATCATCTAATTGCACATTATCATTATCAATTTTAGTTATTTGTA